CTCTTCTAGCCTGAGACCAGAAGAACTAGATGGTATCTGATTATCACTACCAACTGTTCTGACCAGGGACACAGTAGAAGGTCCCGGTTAGAATGGGAGAAAAATGTAGAACCTAACTCAAACCTAAAAAAGATCAGACTTACTGGATTAATAGAGACCAGAGAAACCGCAAAACCTATTATGCTAAGATATCCTTTTAACTTGGAACTGAAGCCACTCCTGGAGGTCACCTTTCAGCCAAATAGTAGATTGGCCTATAAAATAAGGAACACCCATGAGGAATGTGCTCATTTAAACAACTATACGAGACCAAATGATCAACATTTACATAAAAGCAAATATGAGAAGGCAAGGAAGGGCAGGGAAACTGGATGGATGGAAACGGAGCAGGTGAGGTGGAAATGGTGAGAGTGCTGACACATTACAGGGATTGTAACCAATGTCACAGAACAATCTGTATCAGTTGTTGAATTGGAATCTAATTTGCTGTGTAAACGTTCACCTAAAACACAATGAATTTTTTTTTTTTTTTAAAAAAAAGGCCAAGCAGTTCTTTGAGCTACCAAAAGCTAGGAGAGAGGCCTGGAACAGATTCTCTCTCAAAGCCTCGGAAGGAATCAACATGGCTGACACCCTGATCTTGGACTCCCAGCCTCCAGAACTGTGAGACAATAAGCTTCTGTTCTTATAAGCCACCCAGTTTGTGGTATTGTGTTATGGCAGCCCTAGGAAACTAATACACCAATAAATTCTCTGTCTTCCTTAAAAAGCAGATACTCTTGGCTGATAATAAATCTCTACTTCACACCATGAACAAAAATAGATTCCAGGTGGAATAAATATTTGTTATAAATCATAAAAGAAGTAGAATAAAATATAAGAGAATTTTTTTATATAACCTTTAGGGTGAGGATAGTAGGTCCAGGAAATATAAAGAAAAATACAAATAGATTTGAATGCCTGAAATTTAAAAAATTCTGTATAGCAAAAAACACCATAAATAAAATTGAAAGACAGTAAGCAAACTGGGAGGAAATATTAGTAACTTATATACCAAAGGGTTAATATGCATAATATATATAATTGCTCCTATAAATCAATACAAAAAGGCAGCCCAATTGAAAATGGGCAAAATATATAAATAGGCAATTCACAGAATACAAAACATCATAAACATATAAATGGTCATTAATCTCACTATCAAAAGCTAGTGATTTAAAAATCCTTTTAAAAAAGACAAATACCAAGTATTTGCCAAGGAAGTGAAGAAACAGAGAAATAGGCACTCATATACACTTCCAGGAGTCGTGTAAATTCGTTTGCCTTTTTCTGGAAGACTGCTTAGCAATAGGAAGAAAGGCATGGTGATCTACTTCCAAAAAATCAGCCAGTGAAAACCTTATGAAGCACAGTTCTACTCTGGACACTCATGGTGTTGCCATAAGTCTGAATTGACTCCACAGCAACTGGAACTGGAATTTAGCAATAACTGTAAAATTTTAAATGTGGGTACTCTGTGATCCCACAACTTTATATCTAGGAATTCATTTTATGGAGGTACTTGCACAAGTATCAAATAATAAATGCCCACTGATGGAAAAGAAAATGAAAATAACCTAAGTGTCCATTAATAGGGATTGCTTAAATAAATTCAAGAAACCATAGCACAAAATATCATGCAGCTATTAAAAATAGAAGGTCAGTGAAAAAGAGGAAGACCCTCAATGAGATGGATTGGCACAGTGGCTGCAACAATGGGCTCAAGCATAGCAATGATTGTGAGGATGGTGCAGGACCAGGCAGTGTTTCCTTCTGTTGTACATAGGGTCGCTATGAGTCAGAACTGACTCGGTGGCACCTAACAACAACATTAAAAATAAGGATATGTGTGTTTATATTTGCAATATGTACAATATAAATGTGTAATGTACAGCATACATATACTAGTTTCATAAAAACAAAAAGGTGCATATTCACAGAAAAAAAAAACCTAGAATCTTTGGAAAGAAGATTTATAAGGAGCCATAGCTTTCTTCATTTTGTATTGTCTGAATTATTCACAATGAACATGTAGTACTTCAGTAGAAGAAGCCCCAGAAGATTATAAGAAATACCTGGGCAAAAACTTTTAAATATGATAATAATTACCACCGATAAAGGTAGTTGAGTCACACTCCCATATACTGCCAGGCAGAATGCTAACCAGTCATGATCTCAGAGCTAGGATTTCGCCCAGGAAATGGTCAGGCCCTCAGCCAATGGTTTGGTGCAAGGGATATTCCATGCCATATTTTAAAAAGCCAAAAATTGGAAACAACAAAATGTCCAATGGGGGACTGACTGATACATTGGTTGAGTAAACATAAGCCACATGAAGCCATGAAATATCAGGTTTTTAAAGATTATATAATGATGTGGGCAAATGCCCATGATATAAAGTTAAGTAAAAATAGAAGGACACTAAACTGTATATTCAGTATGCCCCAGAATTGAGATAGCATATACATTATATATTAAATTTTTAAGAATAGAAATGTATCAAAATGTTGCTGTTTATCTCTGGGTAGCACTGGATTTTTGGTGATGTCTGTTTTTGTCTTCATAATTTCTTGGATTTTTAAAATTGTCTGTCATGGATTGAATTGTATCCCCCCAAAATATCTGTCAACTTGGCTGGGCCATAATTCCCAGTATTGTGTGATTGTCCACCATTTTGTCATCTGATGTGATTTTCCTATGTGTTACAAATCCTGTCTCTATGATATTGATGAGACAGGATTAGCAGCAGTTATGTTAATGAGGCAGGACTCAATCTACAAGATTTGGTTGTGTCTTAAGCCCATCTCTTTTGAGATATGAAAGAGAAAAGTAAGCAGAGAGAAAGGGGGACCTCATACCACCAAGAAAGAAGTACTGGGAGAATAGCACATCCCTTGGACCTCGGGTCCCTTGCTGAGAAGCTCCTCTATCAGGGGAAGATTGATGACAGGGACCTTCCTCCAAAGCCAACAGGGAGAGAAAGCCTTCCCCTGGAGCTAGTGCCCTGAATTCGGACTTCTAGCCTACTAGACTGCGAGGGAATAAACTTCTGTTTGTTAAAGCCATCCAATTTTGGTTCTTCTGTTATAGCAGCACTAGATAACTAGGACATTTTCTATAATAAGCAAGTATTAGCTTTTATAATAAGTAAAGTTAATAACAGGGGCCACTGGGTGGCACAAAAGGTTAAGTGCTGGACTACTAACAGGAAGACTGGTGATTCAAACCCACTTAGACACCTCGGAAGTAAAGCCTGGCAATCTGCTTCTGAAAGGTCAAGCCTTGAAAATTCTGTGGAGCAGTTCCACTCTGCACACATGGGGTCGCCATGAGTTGGAATTGACTTGATGGCAGTTAACAACAACAGATGACAAAAAGTACTATTTCAAGAAGGAAATATTACATGTGGGATGTATTTAATCCCAATATAATGTAGTAGAGCTTCAGGACATGGGCTCTACCTGGGTTTGAATACAGATTCCATGATTTTGTGGCTGTGAGACTATGGCCACATCACTTGTCTGTGCCTCAGTGTACTCATCTGTAAAATGGGACAATACAGCACCAATACGTGGGGCTGCTGTGAAGATGAAAGGAGTTCATATATGCCACGTGCATAGAACAGAGCCTACATACAGTCAGCATTCTGAAAGCTATTTTAGATGTTTGACATTGAGGGAGAAATTAAATGATTGACACCAAATGCTGGTGAAAATGTAGTGAAACAGTGGTCCTCACACCCTGCTTGTGGCAGGTAGATTAAGTTCAGCCCCGTTGGAACACAATCTGGCCAAATGTTCCCAGAATCAGGAGAATGGTTAGAGTCTTGGCTACCATTATTCCCTGGAAATTCAATTCACAGAAATAATTCTCCTACAAGGAGGGAGGAACCAACAAGCATGGAAATGCTCATTATACCATTATTCATAATAGAGAAATAACCTGTGGCACTTATGGGGCTTAGAACAAAATCTAATGGGGAAATGGATTTGTAGATTATTCTATGCCCACTCAGTGAAATCTCATTACCACAATGATAAGTATGATGATTGAATGAGCACAAAACGCAGAAGCTGAAATTTTTTCAACACACTACAATAAAATAAAGTTATATTTGTTTATAAGTGAGATTTGGAAGGAAACATGAAAAAATAAAAACAATGTGACTTCTGAGTGTGGCTGAATTGTAGGTGAGCATATGGCTTTTATTTTTTGATCCCAAATTTCCAGCAATTAAAAATATGAATATGGAACACAGGACAAAACAAAATCAGAAAGGAATACACTCCAAAGATGACTAGTGGGTCTCTCTGGGTGGTGGGATTATGGGGAATTGGTCTTATTGTTCATACTTGTCTATGCTTTCCAAATTATCCTTCACAATGAGCACACGTTATTACAGTGAAAACTGTGACAGCCAGAACTCGATGGGACTGCCTTGTTTTTCTGAGTCTCGCATGTTTTCTGCCTTTGACAGTGTGCAGTTTTACCATTTTTCTATCGCTTGTTTTAGTGGAAAATATTTGAGTTTTCCTTCTCTGACAGTTTCCACCTTACACAGGTTCTGGCTTTCAGAAGTTTTACTATATAAGTTTGTCCTGTTATAAAAGCACCAATGTATTATTTTCAGAATAAAAAAATAAATATTATGTTTCTAAAGTATGAGAAAAGAAAAACCTCCCATTAGCCATGAATAAAATCAGATGAAAATGATGTTTAATAGTGCAATTTCTTCATAAAGCATAAATCCTGGAACTGTAAAAGACAGAAACAATAGGACATAAAAAATGGTTGTAAATATGTGAAAGGTATTTAGTGTTTAAGCCAACCGCAGATGATGAAATTTGTAAAGTCTTAAAGGAAATTAAATCCTCTAGCATTTATATTTAGCTACATATATTTGTGATTTTTTACTCTAAATGATTAATCCTTACAGTTTGGGTTTTTTTTTTCCCCCTGGAATATTCAGGCCCCAACTTAATGAATGATTACTAATCTTAAAAGCTCAGAGATAACTGTCCTTATTAAAGATCTAAGATGAGGTTGTGTCTGATGTAGACCACTCCCTAACCATACCACTGCCTGGGGACACTGCAGGATTGAGGAAATACATGAGTGGAAGCCACAAAGTGATCAGAAGCTTTCCCAGCTGGTGGTAAACTGTGCCATCCTCCCTGTAAGAAATAAAAAATCTATCTGAATATATAGTTTTAGGGTTCCTCTCTTGGAGGAAGTCACTAGTGCTGATGAAGGCTGAACTTAATTGAAAAGCAAAACTGCCAGTTCATTACACACTCAGGTTAGATTGCTAGTCAGCATGAGTTCTCTGATGTTCAGCCAGTTGTGTGCTCCAAGCAAAGGCTTTGTCAAAATCATCACAGACATAGGTTTTCTGCCCAGTGTGAAATCTCTGATGCTCAGTAAGGTGTGAACTCCAGCTGAAACCCTGTCCACATTCTTTGCATGCATAGCGGTTGCCACTGGAGTGAACTTTCTGATGTTGAATCAGGTGTGAAATCTGGGTGTAGGTTTTCCCACAGTCATTACACTTGTAAGGTTTCTCTCCAGTATGAATTCTCTGATGCTGAATAAGATGGATGCTCTGATTGAAGGCTTTCCCACATTCCTTACAGGCATAGGGTTTCTCACCAGTGTGAATCCTCTGATGTTGAATGAGGGATGAGTTGTGACTGAAAGTCTTTCCACACTCCGTACACTTATAGGGTTTCTCACCTGTGTGGATTTTCTGATGCTCAATAAGGTGGGTGCTCCGGCTGAAAGTTTTCCCACACTCACCACACTCATACGGCTTCTCTCCAGTGTGAATCCTCTGGTGCTGAATTAGGTGTGAAATCTGGGTGTAGGACTTCCCACAGACTTTACACTCATAGGGCTTCTCCCCGGTGTGAATCCTCTGGTGGCGTGTGAGGGAAGAGTTTTGGCTAAAGGTTTTCCCACATTCATTGCACTTGTAGGGCTTCTCACCAGTGTGAATCGTCTGATGTTGAGTAAAAGATGATGTGTGACTAAAAGCCTTTCCACACTCATTACATATGTAGGGTTTCTCCCCCATGTGAACGCTCTGGTGCCTCATGAGGTGGGAAATCTGTGTGTAAGCTTTCCCACACTCGTTACACTCATAGGGCTTCTCACCAGTGTGAATCCTCTGATGCTGAGTCAGTGAAGAACTGTGACTGAAGGCTTTGCCACAGTCAGAGCACTCGTAGGGTTTCTCTCCAGTATGAACTCGCTGGTGCTGAGTCAGGGAGGAGCTGTGGCTGAAGGTTTTCCCACACTCGTTACACTTGTAGGGCTTCTCCCCAGTGTGGATCGTCTGGTGTTGAGTCAGGGAGGAAGTGTGGCAGAAGGCCTTGCCGCACTCACTGCACTTGTAGGGCTTCTCCCCAGTGTGGGTTTTCTGGTGGCGGGTGAGGTGGGAAAGCTGCGAGTAGAACTTCCCACACTGGTTGCATTTATAGGGTTTCTCCCCAGTATGGCAACGCTGGTGTTTAATGAGGGAGGAGCTCTGTGTGAAGGCCTTTCCACACTCCTTGCATTTGTAGGGTTTCTCTCCAGTGTGAATCCTCTGATGTTCAGTGAGTGATGAGCTCTGGGTGAAGGTCTTGCCGCATTCATTACATGCGTAGGGCTTCTCTCCTGTGTGAATGATATGGTGCTGGATGAAATAGGAGCTGTTGCTGAACGCCTTCCCACAGTCATTACACTTGTAGGGTTTCTCTCCGGTATGAACTCTCTGATGGAGAATATAGTCTGAATGGTAAGTGAAGGCTTTCCCACATTCCATGCAGTGAAATGCTTTCTTCTCTACGAAGGTCCTTTGGCATTTCAAGCTCTTTCTTGGCCCAGGCCATTTCTGCGTTCTCTCTCCACCAGCCACTCTTTGCTTCCTGACAAGGGCTGAAGTCAGCCTGAGGCTTCTCCCAAGCTCAGTGCAGCCAAAGCCTCTCTCTCCAGAGGGGATTTCCTTGGCAGTAGCAAACAAACGACACCTCAGGGGCTTCTCCTGGTTTCCCTGGTCCTGTAACCAACGGCAGCATGCCCAGGATTCTCCCAACTTTACATCTCCAAACACACTCCTCACAATTCCCTGTATCTTTCCCAGTGGGGATATTGACTCTTCAGAAATGCTTTTTTTTGGTGGTGTTTCCTGAGTAGACACAGAGCTTTTCTCCAAGTCTGAAAGAAATGGAAAATGTGAATATCATCTGTACCAGGAGAAAAGAACCTGATTATTTGGAATTTGCATTATAATTTTTAAAGAGAAGGATTTCAAAGTTTATGCTACTATTTTAGAGGAAAGGGGGAGTTTTTGCTTAGGGGGCATTGAGTTTATGTGAATGGTGGTGGAGTGATTTGGAGAAGGATAGTGAGAATTGTTGCACAAGTTGAAGAATGTAATCAATGTTACCGAATTGTACATGTAGAAATTGTTGAGATGGTGTATGTTTTGTTATGTATATTTTCACACAGTCAATGTTTTTAAAAGTTTATCTTGCTATTTGTAGTGAAATGAGTTCCTTTGTGTGGCCTTTTGCCTTGATTTTTTGGAAAACAGCTTGGGAGGTTTTCTCCCTAAGCTTTGAGGAGTTACCTTTGCCATAGTTCTTTGGAGAAGCAACTTGGGGGAGGGGAGTCTCCTAGGTTGTTTTTTACCCCAGAGGGTTTGTTACTTTTGTTCAAGTTGATTGACATCTCCTGGGTAAGCTGTAAACAACTTGATGGTCTGATAATTTTTGTTCAGCCCTGAGCTGCAGTCATCCCTGTAATTGATTTATTTTATACACCTTGCAGGGATTGGTAGGTTTGCTATGCAAATTGAGTGATTTACAGTCCACCAAGGGGATTGGTCAGTTCGTGGTCTTGCTGGGAGAGCCATGCCTTGAAATTGACAAAAAGTTTGCTTATATAAACAGCCCACCCCACAGAGGTTTTTTTTAGAAGAAGAGAAGGAGCAGAAAGAGAGGAGACAAGGAACCTCCTAAAAGAGCTGTAATACAGGTCAAGGGCTGTAACACTGAGGACAGCAACAGTCCTGGAAGGGGCCATGTGGCAGAGTTGGTGGTGACAGGCAGAAAGTTGCTGCTAGGAAAGCAGCTAAGAGAGCTGAGCAAGCTGCTACACTGGCTATGAGCTGGGCCAGTTAGCAGTGGAGAGGCTGACGGCAGGGAGGCTGAAGGCAGAGAGGACTGCACGGCTGAGAGGGGCGATGCACAGCCAAGAGGAGGCTAGCACAGCTGAGAGAAGAGCCTGCTAGTATGGCTGAGAAGAGGCCTGCAAGGCCAAGAGGGGATGTGCACAGCCAAGAAGAGGGCCTGCCTTCGAACACGGCTGAGAATGGCCTGAGAGATTTGTCCTGGTTGGAAGCTGTCCTGCACCTAAGAAGGGAGGGATGTGCTCTCCACCTTGGGAGAGCCTGCCAAACCTTGCCTATGTGCTTCCTGATCCTCAGTTGTTTGTGTTACTTTCAAGTTGATCCTGATCCCTGTTATTTCTCTCATAAACCACTTAACTGTAAGTATGGTCTGTGAGTTCTGTGTGGTCATTACAATGAATTATCAAACCCAGCAGAGAAGTAGAGAGTGTCATGGGGAGGATGGCTGGTGTCAAAAATGAAGAAGTTGGAGAATGGAGACACAGGTATCCCCTGCTTTTTGAAAGTTCGCTTTATGCTACTTTGCTTTTACGAAAGACCTACGTTAGTACCTGTTCTTACTAACTGAAAGAAATCTGAGGAGGATTTTTGCTTATACAAAAAAAGGTGAAAAGCAGAAATAGCATTCAGCGTTTGTTTTGCAGCGAGCCATTAAAGAGGCAGCGCACAACCCCGAGCAGCAAGAGGGCCATTGCCAAGTTCCTTCCCTGGGAACTACACTCAGCATCTCAGCATCAAGCCACCATAGCTTTGAACTGTGTCTGTGAGCATCTGTACTTTATCTCGACTTATATTGTGCATCCATTAGCAAGATGTGTCCCAAGGTATCAGAAAAGCCTAAGAGAGCTCGTAAGGGTTTTATGTGTTATTTGGTATGATTTGGTAGGTTATTTTTTGGGTCTAGGAACACTCTCAAAATTTTTTCCCATATAAACTAATGTTAATTGCTTCTTTGCTTTATGCCATTTTGGCATACGAAATGTTTCACAGAATGCTGTACTTTCAAATAGTAGGGGAAACCTGTATGTCTGACCTCCACCTCATAGAAACCAGCTTTGTGCTGATCCTGGTTCTTATCCCAGGATAAGTTCAGACACTAGACACACTATTTTAGAGGGCATGAGGTAGAGAGTCACATTCTGACATGGATGGCCTCAGTTTATTCTAAAAATGAAAAGAACCAAGTTGCAAAATAGTTTATGTGTACAGAGGTTTACTAACCATAATATATAATGAATTTTTACAAATCAATACCAAAAAAGAGAAACAATCTAATAAACCAGTGAAGCAAGAATATGAGTAGACAAATCACAGAAGAAAAACAAGTGGCTGATAAATACATGAAAATATGCTCAACATCAGTAATAGTCTAAAAAATCAAGTTATTAAGATAACATTTTATACTTTTCAGACTGGAAAATTTCAAAAATGTTCATAATATCCAAGGCATTCTCACACCTTGTTGGTGGTAGTGTACAAGGAAAGGATTAACACAGGTCTATTTTACTCAGTTCTTGTTTATCTCTGTAACCATGGCAATGACCCTGGGCCAAGGGCTGAGAACAAAACTTCTAGAATGTTTACATAATTACTGGTTAATGATGTTATTCTGTATGCTTGAGGCATGCCACAGATCAAGATGTACTAGGCTGTCATCATTGTTTCACGTAAACATGAAGAATCACAACGTACAACTGGTCCCTGGTTGGGGGTCTGCACCATGGCCGGTTACATAGCAGGTATGTGCCCACATGACCAGCTCTTTTTAAGATCTCTGAATGCTAAGACTCAAGTGGGCCTTCCTCAGGTGGGGGCAATAAAAATGTTCCAAAATTTATTGTGGTGTTAGATATACAATTTGGTGAATATACTAAAAGCCGTTGAATTATACACTTTAAATGTGTGAATTTTATGGTATGTGAATTATATCTCAATAAAGCTGTTTAAAAATAAATGAATTGATAAGAAGATTAGGAAATTTCACTTTCTACATTATGTATTTGCAATGTTTTGTTCATTTTAAGTATTTTAAAATGGTTTTCACTAGGCGACTATCTTAGTTATCTAGTGCTGCTATAACAGAAATACCACAAGTGGATGGCTTTAACAAATTTATTTTCTCACAGTTTAGGAGGCCAGAAGTCTGAATTCAGGGCGCCAGCTCTAGAGGAAGGCTCTCTCATCTGACAGCTCTGGGGGAAGGTCCTCGTTTCTTTTCAGCTTGTTTCCTGGTTCTTTGGAGATCTCTGTGTGGCTTGGCATCTATCTTCCCCCATCTCTGCTTCCTCGCTTCCTTAATCTACTGTTTTTATATCTCAAAAGAGATGACTCAAGATACAGCCTACACTAATACTGCCTCATTAACATAACAAAGAAAACCCACTCCCAAATGCAATTATAACCACAGGTATACGTGTTAGGATTTAGAACACCTATTTTGGGGGGACACAATTCAATCCGTAACAGTGACTACAGTGTAAAGCGTATCTCCTACCTTCCCTTTTTCCTACAGGTTCTAGCTGCTTATGACTCCTTTTCGAGATCTTCTATATATTTATGTGCATGTGTGTATATGTAGTGGCAGGGAGGGTTTTTAAATTACTGTTCTTATTTACCTTTGTAATTTGAAAAGGCAGTAAAGATATTGGGGGGGAAATACTCAAAGGAATCCCATTAAAATGTTAAGAGAGAATTTTTTTTGGAGCGATAAGCAGGATTAAAGGGGCCCTGGCAGCGCACTGGTTAAGCGCTCAGCTGCTAATCAAAAGGTCAGTGGTTCCAACCAGCCGCTCTGTGGGAGAAAGATGTGGCAGTCTGCTTCGTAAAGATTACAGCCTTGGAAACCCTACAGGGCAGTTCTACGGCAATGGGTTTTTTTTTTTTTTTGGTTTTGGGGGCACAAACAGTTAGGCACTTGGCTGCTTACTGGACACCTGGCGGTTTGAACCTACCCAGCCACTCCGCAGGAGAAAGACCTGGCGATCTGCTTCGGTAAAGATTACAGCCAGGAAACCCCTATGGGGCAGTTCTACTCTGTCACACAGGGTCACCACGAGTTAGAATCAACTCAACAGCGCCCAACAACAAAACAGGATTATGGGAGATTTTCATTTCCTACTTTATTCTTATTTAGATCTTCAAAGTTCTGTGATGAACACATATAGCTTTTATTTAATTAGAAAAACTTCAATACATATTAAATGTATATGAGACTTTGACACATGATCTTGCAATTTGAAGAAAGGGAAGTGTAGAGAAAATAATGAGCAGTAAACCAAAACCATTTGTAATTTGTTGGAATGGACTGATTTTCAGTTGCTAGTAGATTCTTTCATTGGATGCACATTAATACTACAATGGCTATGTGCCAACCACAGTATTGGGAGCAGGTGTCTCTGTGCTGAACAAGACAGCCCTTGCCCTCAGAGAGGAGGGAGAGGCAGGCTCATACTTAGACATTTTTTTGTTTTGTTTTGAATTGTGCTTTAGGTGAAAGTTGACAGCTCAAGTTAATTTCTCATGCAAAAATTTATACACATATTGTTATTTGACATTAGTTGCAATCCCTATAATGTGACAGCACATTCCTCCTTTCCACCCTGGGTTTCTTGTGTCCATTCAACCAGTTCCTGTCCCCTTCTGCCTTCTCATTCTGCCTCCAGACAGGAGCCACCCATTTGGTCAGGTGTGTCTGCTTGAACTAAGAAGCACCCTCTTTACAAGTATTATTTTATGTTTTATAGTCCAGTATAATCTTTGTCTGAAGAGTGGGCTTTGGGAATTGTTTTAGGTCTGGGTGAACAGAACTCTTTCTTATACTTAGACATTTTGGACATAGCTAACTTTTCTCCTTAGCATCCCTGCTCTCATCTCTATGTAGTCTTGGTGGGACAGTCAATCATAGTCTCCCCTACCTCTACCTCAAGTCATGAGAGCCAGGCTGGCCCATCATAAGATCCCAGGCCATAATAATTGGTTCAGGGTCCAAACATAGCCAGTGATACAAACAGCTAATCAGAGTCTTCCCTGAAAATGATATATGGGGTTTCTGGGCAGAATATAACTCTGAGGCTGGTTAGCCATACTGACAGCAAATACTGACTGGAGGGTTACTTTGTGCCAGGCACTGGGCTACACTCTGTATATGTTAACTCATTTTATCCTCTCAATTCTAGGATGTAGGAACTATAATAGTTGCCATTTTATAGATGAGGAAATTGAAGCACAGAGAGGCTGAGGAACTTTCCAAAGGTCACACAGCCAGGAAGCAGTGGAGCTGGGATTTGAACCCAGGCAGCCTGACTCTAGAGCCCATGATTATAGCCTGCATGTTATGCTGCCTCATTCTTGAATGAAGTCACTGATGATGATAGATAGAGCTAGGAACAGGGCTCATCCCTGCTGGACATTCTCACCCACCTGAACAAGTAACCCATCGAGCTTGTCTCTCCTCCATCTTTGGCTCTTCCCCTCGCTCCAGACGAGAGATCACGTCAGGCTTGGTCCCAGGAAGCCCTGCCCCTGGGAAAAGATATAAGACTTGGCTTTGGATGCCAGGGCCACAGGGAGACCTGGGTGTCTAGGAGATATTCGTACATGGGGGTGCTTGATGAACGGAAACTCTAAGGGTCAATGCAGGACTCATTTGTTGAGCACCGACTACGTTCCAGAGAGAGACTGAGCCATGACAGCACTGTTTAAGGCTCAAGGTCAGTGTCATAAATCACAGCCCTGAACCCGACTATATGCTGAGTCCTGGAAGTCCTTCTGGCAAAATATCAGGCCTGGGGGTGGTCTTGGGGACCCTGACTCCGACGTTTAAGCGATGATTCGGATGAGTTTGTCTACTGAAAGTATGTAGGCGTCGCTGGGGACAAATGGGGCCCTCTCTGCTCCTCTCATCAGTTCCTGGCCCCTCTCTGCCTCCCTGTCTGTCCACCAGAAGGGCTGAGGATGGAGACTTCAGACCACCACAGCTCATAGGGAAAAGCAGAGAAAGCGGAGCCAGAAAGAGAAATTGAGAAGAGATGGATGGAGGAAGAATGAAATGCAGGCCAGAGAGGAAGACAGAATGAGGGTCCAGGGGGTGAGGGTCCACGGCAGGAAGGACAGGAGTAGGGGCTGATGGGCTGTGGGGGGAGGGAAGGAAGGGGAGAGGATAGTGTCCAGGGGTCTGGTCTGGTGAGATGTTGGTGCTGACAAGAGATGCGTACCCTGGAGGGGGAGGAGCAGGTTAGAGGGGAGACGCTGAGCTCAGTGAGGAATATGGAGATCGAGAGGGATGGAATTAACAGGAGACAAGCTGGTAGACAAGTGTAGGACTCAGGAAACTTTTTTTTAAGTCTATCTAATTATGGGGTTTAGTATTAGGAAGTGCTGCTATAACAGAAGTAACACAAGTGAGTGGCTTTAACAAACAGAAATTTATTTTCTCACATTTTAGGAGGCTAGGAGTCCAAATTCAGGATGCCGGCTCTAGGGGAAGGCTCTCTCCGTCCACTCTGAGGGAAAATCCTTGTCTCTGCCTCCCTAGCATTCTTTTTGGTGTTCCTTGGAGATCTCCGTGTGGCATCTATCTTTCCCCCATTCATGCTTCCTTCCTTCTGTGCCTAATCTGCTCTTTTATGTCTCAGAAGTGATTGGATTAAGATACACCCTACATTGACATGGTCTCATTAACATAACAAAGAAAACTCATTCCCTAATGGGATTATAACCACAGGTACAGGAGTGTTCCCTCAAAATACATATCGTAAATCCTAACCCCATACCTGTGGTTATAATTCCATTTGGGAATAGGTTGTCTTTGTTATGTTAATGAAGCAGGATTAGCGTAGGGTGCGTCTTGAGTCTATCTCTTTGGAGATATAAGAGAGACTAAAACAAGCGAAGAAGCAGAGATGGGAGAAGAGACATGCCACGCCACATGAAGATCACCAAGGAACAAGGACCTTCCCCCAGAGCTGAGAGAGAGAGAAAGCCTTCTCCTAGAGCTGGCACCCTGAATTCAGACTTCTAGCCTCCTAAACTATGAGAAAATAAATTTCTGTTTGTTAAAGCCACCCACTTGTGGTATTTCTATTATAGCAGCATTAGACAACTAAGACAAGGGGTTAGAATTTACAATGCATATTTTGGGGGGACACAATTCAATCCATAACAAGCATTGTGGCCTCACACCTAACCTTTTCACAACTGGTGGAAGACACACTTACCCAGCAACATTTTCTGCCTTTCAGGTTCATTGGGAAGCGCTTTCCCACTGACAGCGCATGCTGCCGCAAGGCAGGGGCCTTTATGGCTACTTGAAACTGACAAAACAGGCATGTGCCACAAATTACTGTTTCTACAGGGTGTTGTGTAGGTTTGTGCATTTTTGGTAGGAATATAGAAATTTTGAAAAAAAAAAATGTGGGGACACATATGTCCCAGTGGGCTCAGGGAGACGCTGGAGGATAAAATCAGTGGGACAACGTATGTCCCACTAGACTCTAAGGGTAGGTTTGTGGGAGGGGGAAAGAAAAAAAAAAAATCCATACTACCTACCAAAAATTCAACAACACTCAATGATTCAGCATGCTTCTATTAATTAAAACACACAGTATTGAAAAATTCAAAGCAGAAAATAACTGGGTCTTGAAAGGGTTCTAAGCTCCATTCTTTAATAGTCCCAGCTGACTTTTTTTTTAACTCCCCATTTCTCTCTCCCCCTAGCCCTTGATAACCACTTATCTACTTTCTGTCTGTGTGCATTTGCCTGTTCTAGATATTTCTTATAAGTGGGATCATACAATATTTGTCTTTTTGTGTCCGATTTCTTTCATTTAGCATGTTTTTAAGGTTGACACATGTTGTGACATGCATCAGAACTTCATTTCTCTTTATGGCTGAATAATACCCCATTGCATGTATGTACATTTTGTGTATCCATTCATCAGTTGATGGACATTTAGGTCGTTTCCTCCCTTTGGCTAATGTGAATAATGCTGTTATTAACATTGGCGTAGAAGTATCCATTTTGAGTTCCTGCTTTCAATTCTTTTGGCTCAGGGGACATATTTAGGGAACAGAGTTTATGGGCTTCAAGGAGAAGATGCCAAGCTTGGTTCGGAATCTATTAATTAGGAGGACATCCAGGAGGCCCTAGGAGTCAGAGATTCCAAAATGGGCATTCCAGGGTGGAACCTGGGGGCTGGGGAAGATCATTCACAGAGAGGGGAGAGGGAGAAGAGGGCAGAGACACAGGCTGAAGGGGCTGAAGAATACCCACATTTTACAGAATAGGAAGAGGATGCAGGGGCCTCCGGGTGCTGTGGCTCTAGGACAAGCTGGTGGAAAGACTAGGAGACAGAGAGGGGCCCACACAGCCCCAGCCACACCCACACTTAAGCATGGGTGGATACAAAGGAAAAAGGTCCCTGAGCGGAACAAAGGGTTTGCTCTCCTCTCAACTACTAACTTAAAGGTCAGCAGTCCAAACCCAACCAGCAGCACCATGGAAGAAAGGCCTGGCAGTCTGCTTCCATAAAGATTACAACCAAGAAAACCCTACGGAGCTCAGTTCTACTCTGTAACACGGTGTCACCAGGAGTTGTATTCGACTCCATGCCAACAGGTTTAGTTTTGGTTTAGACACAAAGAAGGAGAGGGCAGCAGGGGGCATTGTGCCTCTTCCTGGGTGAAGACTGGGTGTGGGGCCTCACCCAGTGAGAGAAGGTTCTGGTAGTTCTCCAGCATCACGTCCCGGTACAGCTCCCTCTGGCCAGGCCCCAGCCAGCCCCACTCCTCCAGGGTGAAGTCCACGGCCACGTCCTTGAAGGTCACCGATTCCTGGAAGAGCCAAAGTTACATGGTGGAGGGGCCGTCCTCCCAGAACTCAAGGGCAGGAAAGGTCATTGCTCCACTGCGCCAAACTGCTTGCTCTACGACTGTTCCCTGGGCCGGGACGTTCTGACTCAGCAAATTTGGGACGACAAAATCAAAACCATCCCCATGGGAATGTGAACAGTCTTGTTGTTGTTGTAGATACCTTCAAGTTGATTCCAAAACATGGTGACCTCCACGCCATGTGACAGAGTAGCACTGCCCCATAGGATTTTCTAAGGAGCCCTGGTGACACAGCAGTTAAGTGCTCAGCTGCTAACTGAAAGTTTGGCGATTCAAACTCACCAGCCACTCCACGGGTGAATGATGTGGCAGTCTGCTTCTGTAAAGACTGCGGAAACCCTATGGGGCAGTTCTACTCTATCCTATAGGGTCACTATGAGTCAGAATCTACTCGACAGCAATGGGTATGGTCACAGCGACCCCACTAACAGAGCAGAACGGCCCCATTGGGTTTTCTAGGCTGTAATCTTTACAGAAGCATATAGGTCATTCTCCTGCGGAGCAGCTGGGTGGGTTTGAACTGACAACCTTTAGGTTTGTAGCTGAGTGCTTAACTGTTGTGCCGCCAGGGCTCCTTGTGACAGTTTAGGGCACTGTAACAGTGGACACATGACATTAAGCATTTGTCAAAACCCACAGAACTGTACAACACACAGAGCAAACCCTAATGTAACTATGAGCTTTAGTTAATAGTACTGTGTCAGCACTGGCTCATCAGCTGAAAGAAATCTACCACACCAATGCAAGATAATAATAGGAGACATTGTGTGCAGGGGGAGAGGAGGTATATTCAAACTGTCTGTACTTTCTGCACAATTTTTCTATATAAAAAAAACTGCTCAAAAAATAATAATAATAGAGTTTATTAAAAAAAAAAAAGAAAGTCTCAGGCAGCCCCTAGCCCATAGACAGTATAAAGTAGAGCAAGGGGCCCTTCCGTGTGACTCTTTACTGCCATCTGCTGGAAAATTGTTGTAATATACCAACTGTGTTTAACAGGGAATCCCTGGCTGGTGCAGTTAATGTGCCCGGCTGCTAACCAAAACCCTGGAGATTTGAGTCCACCCAGAGGCACCTTAGAAGAAAGGCCTGGTAATCTACTTCCAAAAAATCAGCCTTTGAAAACCCTGTGGAGCACAGTTCTACTCTGACACACATAGAGTCACCATGAGTCGTAATCGACTTGACAGCAACTGGTTTACTAGTAAGATTAATATATGACAGTTTGCCCTATCTGCCTGATAACGCATACCAGTGCAGGAGGTCCAAGGTGTGAATATTGCACCTTAGATGAGGCACCCGTGCGCAGTGCATAACCCGCACAGCTGTATGTGGCAGTCTTAAGAAACACGTTTTACTTTTGAATCATCAAGCCATTGTGTGCAAGAGATATTCCTGAGTCCCACTCCATCACAGACCCAACCTTGATTCTGACCCCTATTCCTGACTCCAAGGATAAGGCTCAAGGGTGAAGCAAAACCATCAACTGCCCATTTTACCTGGTAAGGAAAAACACAGCTGACTGTTAGATGGATTGATTTTCAGACTGTGTCACAAGGTCTCAGCTCAAAGCTGCTCCCCGACCCCCTGCACCTCCCAGCCCCTGAGCTCCTCCAGTATTTGAGAGAGGCAGAAGGCCTTCAGACCACAGGCAGAGACAGGGATGGCCCTCGGGGTCCTCAAAGTCATCTTGGGAAAGAGGAAGCCCAGACTCACCTGGCCCTCGGCCGTCAAGGTCCCAGTGGCCATTGCTGAGTCCTGGGCATTCACCTCCAGGACAAATGTCCAGGTCTGAGTGGGCAGAGCTGGTGGAGGAGAGAGGAGCAGACAGGGGGTCAGTTCTGGCCCAGCCAGACACTTTCCCCAAAGGCTCCTTGAGACAGATAATTGCAGGGGCCCCTGGTCTTCTATGAGCCAAAGCAAAGGCTCAGGATAGGCTGCCTGAGGCCTCCATTCAGTAACAGTAACGGTAACAACAACAGCGAGCAATCAGAGGATCATCCCCCAGCACCCACATAACAGCTCTCTCAGACAGGTGAAACTGAGACCCAAGGGGTTACAGGCTGTTATGGATTGAATTGTGTCTCCCCAAAATAGTGTTGTAAATCCTAACCCCTCTACCTATGGAGGAGCCCTGGTGGTCCAGTGGTTAAGCACTCAGCTGCTAACCAAACGGTTGGTGGTTTGAACCCACCAGCTGCTCCGCTGGAGAAAAGACCTGTTGATCTGCTTCCGTAAAGATTACAGCCTTGGAAACTCTATGGGGCAGTTCCCACAGCAACAGGGGTTTTTTATACCCATGAATGTAATCGAATTTGGGGATGGGTTTTCTTTGTTATGCTGACGAGGCAGTACCAGTGCAGGGTGTGTCATAAGTCAATCTCTTTTGAGATATAAAAGCAGATTAATCAAGCAGCAAAAAAGCGGAGTTGAGGGAAGATAGATGCCATGCCACATAAAGAGCACCAAGGAGCCGAGGAACAGAAGATGGAAAGAGACAAGAACATTCCCCCAGCCAGCAAAGAGACAGAGCCTTCACTTAGAGTCGGCATCCTGAATTTGGACTTCTAGCCTCCTAAAATGTAAGAAAATAAATTTCTGTTTGTTAAAGCCACCCCCATGTAGTATTTCTGTTACAGCAGCACTAGATAACTAAGACACAGCCCTTGCTCAAGACCATACAGAAAACAAGTGCCGAACGGGATTTGAACCCAGAGTCTGACCACAGAGTCCCCACTTTACATATGTGTGTGTGTGTGTGTGTGTATACATGCAAACCAAACCAAAACCAGTGCCTTCAAGTCTATTCCAACTAAATGGCAACCCCATGTGTTACAGACTAGAACTGCTCTATAGGGTTTCCTTGGCTGTAATCTTTAATGGTTTGCACCCAACTGCTAATCTAAAGGTTGGCAGTTTGAACCTACCCAATAGTATCACGGAAGAAAAGGCCTGGTGATCTGCTTCCATTAAGATCACAGCCAAGAAAACCCTATGGAGCAGTTCTACTCTGTAACACGTGGGGCCGTCCTGAGCTGGGATCGACTCAGCAGCAACTAACAACAACAAATCTTCATAGAAGCAGACCTCCAGGCCTTTCTTCCTCAGTGCCACTTGGTGGGTTAGAACCACCAACCTCCAGGCTAGTAGACGAGCACAAACTGTGCCACCCAAGGACATGATATAGATGTATATAATTGTGGTCAAATACACATAACATGAAATTTAAGAGCAAAATCCAGTGGCATTAAGGACATTCACAGTGTTGTGAAACCATCATTTCTATTTAGCTGCAGAACATTTTCACCACTCCCAAAAGAAACACTGTACAAATCACTTTTCAGTCACAAAGAGAAGAGGGTTCGTTTAGGACCAAGAAACCTGGCCGACACCACCTTAACTAAGTGATCAAGGCTGACGTGACCAGTGACAGGGCAAACAGATGTCACAGGCCCCTGGTTTGATAAGAAGGACATAGTGTCATTCTGGGGTTGTTGTTGTTATTAGGTGCCTTCTAGATGATTTTTGACTCATAGCGATCCCAAGTGTTACAGAGCAGAACTTCCCCCATAGAGTTTTCTTGGCTACAATCTTTACTGGAGCAGATCGCCAAGTCTTTTTCCCGAAGAGCTGCTGGGTGGTTTGAACTGCTGACTTCTCAGTCAGCAGAGTGCTTAAGCACTGTGCCATCAGGGCTCCACTTTAGGGTTAAAAAAAAAAAAAAAAAAGTTGCCTTCGAGTCAATTCTGACTTGCAGTGATCCTATAGGACAGAGTAGAACTAACCCGTGGGGTTTCCAAAGCTGTAATTTGTTGTTGTTGAGAATATACACAGCAAAACATCAAAATATACACCAATTCAGTGACACCAGTTACATTCGTTCAGTTGTGCATCCATTCTCACCCTCCTTTTCTGAATTCCTCCCCCGTTAACAAAAACTCACTGCCCCCTAAGGATCTTACCTAATCTTTCGAGTTGCTATTGTCACTTTGATCCCATGTAGATGGTTCTTAAAAGAGCATAATGCTCAAGGCAGACATTTTTTACTAGTTAAGCTATTGTTTGGTTTTAAGAAGACTCCAGGGGCTATTTTTTGTTTTAGTTTTAAAGATTATCTCAGGACAGTAGATTCAGGGGTTTGTCCAGCTCTCATGGACTCCAGAAGATCTGGAGTCCATGAGAGTTTGATCTTCTGTTCTGCATTTTGCCCCCAAAGGCTGTAATCTTTACCGAAGCTGACTGCCCCATCTTTCTCCCGCTGAGTGGCTGGTGGGTTCGAACCGCCCAACCTTTTGGTTAGCAGCCGAGCACTTAACCACTGCGCCACCAGGGCTCCTCATTCTGGTGTACTCCTGCCCAAAGAGCAGAACCTAATCGTGAGGAAACATGGCACAAACTCAAACTGAGAGCCGTTCTACAAGTACAGGGTAGGTAAACTTCAGAATTGTCAAGATCGTGAAGGTCGAGGGGAGACGGAAGAACTTCGTCGATTAAAGGAGACTAGAGAGCTAACAACTAATGCAATGCGCGATCAGGACGGTCTTTTACCATTAGGGACATTACTGGGACAATTAGCAAAATTTGGAATAAGGTCTGTAGATAAGCTAATAGTACTGTATTGATGTTAATTTCCTGATTGTGGTCATGGTGCTGTGGTTATGTAAGAGAATTATTTGTTTTTACAAAACACAGAGACCCAGAGGAAGGGGGACAAAGACCCAAAGGGGAGGGATAGAAAACCCAGAAAGAAGGGGACAGGGACTCAGAGAAAGAGGGGGACAGAGACGGTGGGGGCGTGGAATCAGAGATCCAGAGAGGGGGCGGGACAGATGCTCAGGATAAGGGGACAGAGCCCTAGGGTGTGATTGTCCAGTGCTGCGCTCTGGTTTCGGGCCAGACATCCTGGGTGTGATTCCGGGTCTCCCACTCATTAGCTGTGTGTGTGACCTGGGAGAGGCTGCGGAGCCTCCGCAGTCTGTTTCTTCACCTGGGAAACGGCGAAAGGTTTACTCCGTCCTCCTAGGAGATCGCAGCAGCCCGCGCTCGGTCAGACTCCTGGCAAATAGCAGACGCTCAATGCATGGGCGCGGAGAGCGTCTGAGCCGCGAGGGTGCCCGGGGGGCTCAGGAGCAGATTCGCAAATGACAGGAGGGGGCGGGGCGCCGCCCACAGCGCCCTTCTCCCCTCCCCGCAGGCCCCGCCTCTGGGGGCCCCGCCCACCTGCCGGCCGCCCGCTCCCTATCGCTCCTGGTCGGTCTGTCAGGTCTGGACTCACCTGTGCGCTCCCGCGGGTTCTGCGGGGCTGCCAAGCCTTCCCTCCCTCCGGCGGGCCGCGGAGCGCGCCTGCGCGGTAGCCTTCTCTGGCCCGTAAGTCCCAGTACTTTAAACTCGGCTCCGCAGCTGGACTACATTTCCCAGAAGGCATAGCGGCTCACGGCGCCCCCCCCCACGCCTCAGTTTCCTGTGGCCGAGGGAATGCTGGGAAATGGAGTCAGGGGGTAGGATGAGGCGCGTGAGAGTGTTAGGAATACACAGCTGCTTTGCAGTTGGAGGAAGCCTGATAATTAGGGAAATGTCTAGCTGTACGTAGCCCTGGTGGTATAGTGGTTAAGAATTCGGCTGCTAACCAAAAGGTTGGCAGTATGAATCCACCAGCTGCTCCTTGGAAACCCTATGGGGCAGGTCTACCCTGTCCTAAAGGGTCGCTATGAGTTGGAATCCAGTGACGGCAACAAGTTTGGTTTTTATGGATTTTGTCTGGCTGTACTGGCACTTCCAATATCCTAATTTTAACCGAGGTCTTTTCACTACCCCCACACGCCGTGGCCCATTTAACCCAAATTTCTCTTACTGTAGCTTTAGAGCGAAGTGGTTAAGAACTCGGCTGCTGACCAACAGATTGGCAGTTCGATTCCACCAGCCGCTCCTTGGAAACCCTATGGGGCAGTTCTACTGTGTCCTGTAGGGTCGCTATGAGTCGGAATCAACTCGACGGCATCTGATTTGGTGTATAGCTTTAGGAAAGATGAAAGTGGGCCCTATCTAAACTGATGGTGAATAAATTGAACCTCTGCCACTTGATTACTCAATTTCCCTGGGCACCCCCCCATCCTGTTTGCTTCAGTTTTAACTATCACCTTTTAATAGGCAGTGTGGTAGAGGAAAGTGAACCCTGCCAATTCACCTCTTGCGAAGCCACCACCAGTCCGTCAGTGGAGGCTTGTGTGTTGCTATGATATTGAGCCACTTTCAGTAGAGCTTCCAGACTCAGATGGACTAGGAGGAAAAACCTGGCAATCTACTTTTGAAAATCAGCCAATGAAAACCCTATGGATCACAATGGTCTGATCCCATTGTGCACGGGTCCCCATGAGTTGGGCGTGACTTGAAGGCAGCTAACAAAAACTGGGAGCTGGGTGATGTATATCCAGAAATGCAAGGATGGTTCAATATTAGGATATTATATGTATAATTTACGTATCGATATATCAAAATAATGCAGTCATAGTCGTAGATACAGAAAAGGCTTTTGTTAACATCTAGAAATCATGCATTTCTAAATGAACTGTTAATAAATTAAGAACAAGCCAATATTGAACAATAACAATGTTAAGGAATTACTGGCCTAGTCTTGTTTTTAAATATATACATATAATGAAAAGCCCATATCAGGTTTAATGGTAAAATACTAAAAAAAAAAAAAAACACCTCATTAAAGTCAGGAAGAATACACAATGCCCATCATCACCACTATCGGAAGAACCAGCAATATAATTAGACAAAAGAAAGAAAGAAGACATAACTG